CAAAAACTGCGGTAGAGTGAAGCCTGCGGAAGTCGAAGCGTGAAGTGGCGAGGGTTCACTGTACATGTTTTTCCCACTAGGTGAGCAACTCGCTCGGAGTCAGTGCTTCCAGTGGCTTCGCCTGGGAAGATTCTCTCTGGTCATAGTAAATTTTTTCATAAAAGCAGTTTTACTTGAACCGTGGGCTTTTTTTTTGATGGTCTATTTAAGAGAGCAGCATGTAGCTGTGAAATTTTGTTTCCTGCTCAGGAAAAATGCCGCAGACTGTTGTGATGTTGAACACAGCTTACAAGGACAGAGCTTTGGGAAAAACTCAGATATACGAGGAGTTTCCTCATTTCCAAAAAAGGTGAAATGTCAATCGATGATAAACCTCGTTCTGCATGTCCATCAGCTTCTCCAATGGATGAAAATGTCGACAAAATTCGTGCACGGGTGTGCTTGAAGACTGACGTTGGACCATTGCAGAGATGGGGAAGTGATCTGGGTTATCTTGGAGCTCGGTTCAGCGAATCTTAACAGAAGATTTGGAAATGAGAAGGGTCACTAGAGCAAAAGAGAGTCTTGAGTGGAAACATGCCGTGCTTTGAAAGAACAACTCTGAAGCGACCCAGACTTTTTCCAAGGTCATTACTGGTGACAAGACACTGCTGTTCTCACGATCCCGAAAGCAAACATCAATCAAGCCAGTGGAAGGCACCATTGTCGCCTCGCTCAAATAAAAGCTCAAGTGAAATCAGAGATCAAGATGATGCTCATTTTTTGTTGTTGCTTTTTTTATGTGAGGGGGATAATGCATTTGGAGTTTGTTTGTTCCACCAGGTTAGACTGTTAATCAATCTTTTTATTTAGAGGTTCTGAAAAGATTGCATAACAGTGAGTGACAAAAAAGGCCTGATTTGTGGCAAATGGGGGACTGGTTTTGCCACCACTACAATGCTCACGTAGCCATCTCAGTGTGCCAGTTTTTGGCAAAAACCAGCATGCCTCTCTTGCCCCACGCAGCTGACTCACCTGCCCTTGCTCCATGTAACTTTGTTTCCGCAAGTGGAGAGGGACATGAAAGGACAGCGATATAATGTAGAAGAGGTGAAGAAAAAACAAACGAGGGAGGTGCTGTCAGCCATCCAAACAGATGAGTTTGAAAAATGTTTCCAGCAATGGAATTGCAATTTTGACAGAGGTATTAAGTGTAATAGAGAGCACCTTGAAGGTGATAAGGTTATTTTATTAAAACATATATGAATGCATAGCTTTGTAAAGAATTCCAGGGTTTCTTTTTGGGTACCCCTCATCGTGTGTCAGTGGTACAGTAAGGCTGCCATTCTGGTGCTTCCTTCTGTAGTCTGAGTGGTGCGCTTGAAGGGTCTCCGTGCTGCGACCATAGTGTCTGCATCGCTTCTGGGGGCTGCACAGTGATGTGTGGGATGTCAGCAGCATTTTACCTTTTCCCTCCCTGTGTCGCAGCGAAGGGAATAATGTAAATTCCCAAGCGTAGGCACCAGGATCAGCATGAAGGCACTCCTCCTCTCTCTCAGCTTTGTGCCACTCTGATCCTCTGCTGGGTTTGGTTGTTCATGATTAGAGAAACAGGAACAACGAAGGAGCGGGATGAGATCAGGAAACCCTTAGCGATCATATTTTTTGGTAGAATAGGTGTTTGTTTTTTTCCCTTTTGTGAGGTGAATCACTTAAAGTGGTTTGTCACAACTTTGATAGTGAATAATCTTAAAGCGGCGTGTTTGTGTGTTTAACTTTCAGGTGACTTACTGAGTAACCTGATGCAGAGCCCTAGTTCAGCCAAACTGTTGAATCAGCCAATCCCCATCCTTGACGTGGAGAGTGAGTATGTGTGTTCTCTGGCCTTGGAGTGCCTGGCTCATCTCTTCAGTTGGATTCCTCTGTCTGCCAGCATCACCCCATCCCTCCTAACCACCATCTTCCACTTTGCGCGTTTTGGCTGTGACATCCGGGCGAGAAAGATGGCATCCGTTAACGGCAGCAGCCAGAACTGTGTCTTGGGTCCAGAGCGTGGCCGGCTTGGGGTTCTGGCCATGTCCTGCATCAATGAACTCATGTCCAAGAACTGTGTGCCTATGGAGTTTGAGGAGTACTTACTGCGCATGTTCCAGCAGACTTTCTACCTCCTGCAGAAAATCACCAAGGATAACAATGCCCACACGGTGAAGGGCCGGCTAGAAGAACTTGACGAGAGGTAATGAGCTCCGTGTGGAGTTGGTCAGGCCTTGAGCAAGGCCCCTGGCGTTGATCACGTGGTGCCCCAGAGTGTCTAACCCTCTGATTGCAGACAAAATTCTCTTCTATTGCTGAATGGAAAGATTAGGTGCACCAGTAAGTCTGAGACTAGCTGGAAGGGCGAGGGTGGTTGAGGGAAGTGAATAGAATGTGAAAAGTGATGGCCAATTGTGTAGGTTTGTTGTTTCTCCCCCTCCCTCCAATATCTGTCCTCCCTCCCATCCTGTCTCCACTTCCTTGCTCTAGGCCTGCAGGTCTGAGGTGCGCAGGTACTGAGACTGCTGCTCATGCGCGGCCACCAACAGACGAAGAGGGCCCCGGAGGTACCCAAGTTCTAACCTGCCCTTTATCACTTGGCACATCGCTTGTCAGTTCCTCCTATTTGGCTGGTCCCAAGCGAACATCTTCCAGGGGATAGGCGTGTTGTGGGACTGTGAGTCTTACACAGATGGCAAGTTTGCATCAAAGGAGGAGTGGTGACTGAGTGGTCACATGTTAATGTGGTCCACACCTGCGTTTCTTAGTCACTGTCCTCTTGAATGTACTTAAAATTACCTAGCCTTTACCCTGACCATTCTAAAAGCTGGATACTTCGTGGTGGAATGAGGCAGTCTAATTTATTTCCTTTGCAGATGATGTCATATACATATATCTTACAACTCTTATAAATGTGAAAATACTGTTATATCAAATAAGAGGGCAAGTTGGGAACATACATGCTGAATATGTTCAGAAACTTCCAAGTGAATAAATAAATGAGTAGCTATATATAGATTGCCTGGGAGCAGACATTGTCAATATTTTCATCAGTTTTGCCTGAATGGCCTTCTGTTATTAAACTATAGTTAGAGATATACTAGTTCCTTGATCTTTGACTACTTACCAGCAAATGAAATGTGGTGTCTAATATTAAGAATATTTTATCCCTTATTGAATTCACTAATTTTTTGAGGTTAAAAAATACATGCAGTGATTTTAGTTTAGTTTATTATAAATAAGTTTTGTGGGAGATTTTCTTTCAACTAAGAACTAATCTAAATGGTAATGCTTTTACATTTCTCAGTAATAGCTTTCTCTATGAATTTAATAAGAGTTTAAGTATTCCATGCAGTGTTGGCTGAGGAAACTGGTTTTATATTCATGTGCTTAAAAAATTAAAAACATCTACCAGTGATCAAACATCATTTGTTTCGACTAACCTGTAGAATACTGAAACACGAGACGTCATTTTATCATGCCGTATGTTTGGGTAATACAGACATGTCATCCTGGATTATCTATGTATTGATTGTGCTCCGTGTAACTTTTGTGCTCTTGGTTTTATATTTTAACCCTATGCTTCCTATTGCCCTGTGAAAGCTGCGAGGTGCCTGGGAGCGGAAAGGTGACATAAACAATACTGTGTGCTTGCTTCCTGGCTCTCAGGCCCTTACCACTAATTCTAAACAGCTCAGTCTGTTTTCGGTTGTTCAGGTGCTGCTTAACCAGGTCCTTTGCTTCTCTTCTCCTTTCTGACCCCCTCCCCGCCCCCTAACTTTCTACTGTTCATTAGCACCTGTACCAGAAGGTGGGCACGGGCAAGAAAATGAGGTGAAATCACATCGCTAGCTTTAGCTACTGAACTGCCTGCTCTTTGTTGTTGTTTTTTAATTGGGTTGGAGAGTGAAATAACATGGAGATTGCTGGTGTGTCACCCATGACTTCTCTTTGTTCTTTTATAGGTGGTAGGGGACTGAGTCCCTCCTCCCAAAGAACAGTGCACTGGCTCACACACTTGACTCTGTAAACGTAGACTGAAACCACAAGTTGACTAAGGAATTCTGCTTGAGTATTAGTGATTCAGGACAGCAGAGAGAAGTCTCTTTCCACTTTCCTGCCTCACCTAAGTTTGTTTTAGAGCCTCGTTAATGTTTTTCAAGCATTTGGTCCCATGACCCGCCAAGACAGCCATTCTCTGTTTTAACAGAAATAATTGTTTTTAAAAAATGAAAAACTGAAAAAGAGGCCACATGCAGATAAGCTCGTTTCTTTCCCTGTGAGCAGGCGTGGAGAGGTCAGATGAGTAGGTTGGCTACCCTCCAAGGAGACAGGTCCCCCAAACCAGAGAGGGGGTAGATTTTATTTCTGGACAAATTTTACTCTTCTGATGAGTAGTCTTCTCCCCCTGCTCTGGTTGTCTCACACATCCTGGTTTTAAAACTCACCTTTTGCAGTTAGGAGGCTCAGAATTACTTTTCAGCCATTATTTATGTAATTTTGGTCAAGGCCTAGGAAGTCTTTGCCTTTTTCATTGGTTTCTGAAATGTGATTTTTGACGGCATGGCCATCTCATTTTCTAGTCACCTTTTGGTATTTGGGGGCTTAAAATGACAGTTTCTGAGATGTGAGAGTGATGATGTGCTGTGTTCTGAAATAACAAAAGTCTCTTATCCTTGCAGCTGTGACCCACACTTCTTCTCTGAAATGATTTTGTGAATGCACATGAAGTGGGAATTCACTGTGGTGTGAAAAGAAAGTTTGGGAGCGGATGGTAGTTCCCTTCTGCCCTGAGCTGGCCTGTGACCGTGAGCTGGTCATTTGCTCCCTCTGGGACTCGGCCTCACCTGTAACATGGAAACGTCAGACTAAGTGGTCTTTGAGGCCTGTCCAGCTCCAACTGACTGCCTTCGCTCCCTCGTAGTTGAAATCCTCTACAGAGTGGATTGGGATGTACTATATGGTTAATTGGTACCCGGAGCCAGTGGGTGGGGCAAAAAAAAAAAGTACATTAGGTTAGGTTGCAAGCCGGAATATTCCTTACCTGGGTACCGTGCCTTTGATACAGCCTGGCTTTAGTTTTGTGTTTAGCACATTTGCTTTAATATTTTGCCTTCCTTACAAAGAAACCCAGCTCTCTAGACTTTCTCTCAGGTGGAAGGGACACATGTGGTCAAGCTTTTAGCCCCACTTCCTTTTACTGTCCTTGGGTCCTAGCGCTAATGAGCTAGAAAGTAGGAAGCACTAGTGTGTAAGAAGCTTTAATAGTAGATAGTGCCTGAGGATTAAAGTTGCTTTTCTGCTATGTTGCAGGTGGTAATGGAATGAAGGGTTGCCTGTGCTATAGGTAATTGTTGTAGGCCTTTACATTTTTATCTGAAACTGTATTATAAAGCTGTTGTTGTTCTGTATTGAAGAAATTTAAGTAGCCTTTAAGTCCAATTCTAAGCATGTGGCCAGGCTTCTTACTGTCACTTTCTGTCGTCTTATCTTACTTAGCTACATCGAGAAGTTCACCGACTTTCTCCGGCTCTTTGTGAGTGTTCACCTAAGAAGAATCGAGTCCTACTCTGAGTTCCCTGTGGTGGAGTTTCTGACACTTTTGTTCAAGTACACATTTCATCAGGTAACACCAGAAGCCCTTCTCCAGCCACTCCCGCCCCCTGTTCCCCAACACACAAACAAAACCCATCAGTCTGCCTGAGTTATTCTTAGGGGAAAGAATGTCTTCATTTGAATTTCTTTCCCAGACATTTATATACTGCATTTTATGCGGAAATTAATGATGATGTGTTGTGGGTTTTACCGGTCAGTGTTGGGCTGCTAACTGCCCTGTTGGTGGTTCAAATCCACTAGCCTCTTGGTGGGAGAAAGATGAGACCAGCTGATTTACTACAGTCTTGGGAACCTTGGTTTGCATTGAACCAGCAGCCCTGGGGCTTAGGTTATACATCGGGCCGCTAACGGCCAGGGCAGATCCAAACCACCGCTCAGCTTTGTGGGAGGAAGATGAGGCTTTCTACTTGTGTAAAGGTCTAGTCTCAGAAACACTTAGGGGCAGTTCTACCCTACCCGTAGGGTCGCCACGAATCAGAATTCACTGAGTGGTAGTGGTGATAGGTCATCTTCATAACAGCCCTATGAGGCAGGGGCTATTATTATCATCATCTCCATTTTACAGATAAAGAAACGGAGACAGAGTTAACTTGCTCAGAGTAGATCCGTGTACTCACTGCTGCGCTCACTGCTGCACTCACTGATGGCTCACTGCTGCGCTCACTGCTGCACTCACTGATGGCTCACTGCTGCGCTCACTGCTGCGCTCACTGCTGCACTCACTGCTGCGCTCACTGCTGCGCTTACTGATGTACTCACTGATGCGCTCACTGATGCGCTCACTGACGTGCTGAGCTCAGTGCTGTACTCACTGATGCGATCACTCCACATGGTGGAGCCAGAATTGGAACCCAGAGTGTTAACCAATATTATGTTAGAGAAACCACATATAGAAAAATGAAGTGAAAGCCATAGATCTATTCTATACCCGTGACTAAACTTTCCCACAAGGAGATTATGTGTAATATGTGAAGCTTTACAGAGTTGTTTCTGTGGGTTTCTCAGCTCCCCAGCCCTCATCCAACAAGTACAGAACTAACCTCACCCACAAAGTCCTTGTCTTTGTGAAGTCTATATTCCAGTGCCTCAGTCTTTTTCTTGGATGATGTTGTTAACTGTGGCTCATGACCACCCTGTATGTGCACACTAGAAACTGGTTCGGCTTCTGAGCTGCTTCTGGGTGGGTAAGGGGCATCAACCTAGTAGCCCAGTGCCTCGAGTGTCGCCCAGGGACTCTTCCTAACATATATGAGAGGGCTTCAAAAAGATTACAGGTTATCCCCATGATCTTTTCATTCCATTTTTATGTGTGTGTTTTAAAAAGCTCGAGGTATGATTTAAATACCACAATATTCACCTTTTATAGACAGTTTAATCATGTTTAGTAAGTTTATGAAAAATTGTGCAACTATCACCATAGTAGAATTTTTTAATATTTCTGTCAACACCCCCCTTAAAAAAAAGCCCCCCTGCACGTGTTTGTGTGTGTGTGTGATTTTTGTTTGTGTTGTGTGTGTTTTGCACAAAAGCAACTATATCCTAAGTATGAAGCATGATGAATTTTCCCCAAATGTACACTGATGTGACCACCATCTGAGTCAAGAAGAAAGGACACAACCAGTACCCCGAAGCCCCCCATCTCTTCCCTGCCACACACTTCCCACATGACTGGGAAGAACTCCAATCCATGCTGTGGGCGAGGTGTGCCTGTCAGTGGGCTCCTGTGACATGTAGTCCTCTTGTCTGGCATTTTCAGTCAACATGATGTCGCTGAGATTTATCTGGTTTGTATGTAGCTGTATGTCTGCAGAAGCGGGTTTCTTTTCATGACTTTATAAGACATACTACATTGACCCATTTTGCGGCTCAGCTGGCTGTTTCCTGTTTGTGGTGGGCGTGACTCTCGCACAGGCTGTCAGTGCACATGCGCAGCTCTTCTCCTGTAGGTTCTGTATGAAACCACTGGGCCACAAGTACATGTGGTTTTAAAACAGACTTAACTCCTGTGAATGTCGTGAGACTGGAGAAGCTGGAGGGGTACAGGCACTGAGGGTACATGTGTAAGACAGTGGGCTTAGAGCAGAGTTTGATGTGCTGCTTAGCTTTCCTCCCCATGGGACCTGGCACCTACAGGCGGGGGACCATCCTGGGAGGAGTGGTGGGATGCAGGCTCAAGTGCCAGGATGTCTGATAGAGGGGCCTTTGAGTCCCTAGCAGGAAAGCACACAGCTGAGCTCACCAGGTCCGAAGAAAAGCTAGAGGGAAGTGATGAAAAGTTTATAGGAGGGTCAGGATGTAGGGGAGGAACATCAGAGGTGGCATGATTGGAGGTGGATGTGGAAGAATAAGAACAGAGACCAGGGGTGTGGTGGGGTGGGGTAGGGGCACAGACTAGGATCACTTTGAACATGAAATAGGAGCCATAGGGTAAGTGTAGCAGAAATGAGAGTCAAGAGCCTGTGCTGAGACCAGAAGGGAGGGGCTGGTTTGGGAGCCGAATGAAACTATCTTAAGATTTTGCTCCCTGTGTAAAATGAGATCTCCGATATACCACAGTAGAGAAGAAAATTTAGAAATGTTTTCACACACACACACACACACACACTTCATGCCTATTTCTTTGGACTTGGACCTCCCCTCCCCCGGTGATTTTTATTAGGTCTTTGGGCAAGTCTTTAGCAAGTCTTCAATTCCTCTAGAGTTCTGATTCCTCACCAAAGACAATAGGGGGCATCTTCAGGTCTCTCCTAGGACTTCCCTTTGAGGAGTATTGCACTATGCCTTTCCGCTGAGCTGAAGCCTCTTCCATCTGGAGGAAAAGTAGACGTGAGCCACCGAGATGTGGTCTTCCTCGCTTAGGGGCCAGGCTGGTGTGGCCGTGGGATCGCTGTTCTCGAGGTCTAACCAGAATCAGATTCTGCGTGTGGGGTAGCCACCCAGAACATACTCTGTCCTGCTTCATCTGCTGGAGAGACCTAGTGGAGAAGAGATGGCAAGGTGCACTCAGGGACCAGGGAAGTTCCTCAATGAGAGTTCAGAAAAAGAGTTTTAAAGAATTCTCGAGAGAGCTCTGAGGTCTCAGGAGCTCACTGTTGTTGTAGATGCCATCGAGTCAGTTCCAACTCGTAGCGAGTGCCCCTGTGCACAGCAGAACTGAACACCACCGCCTGCACCGTCCTCACATTGTTCTTATGCTTGAGCCCCTTGTGCAGCCGCACTGTCCATCGTCTTGTCCAGGGCATTGCGAATGAAGTCTGAACACTGGGAAGCTCTGGGAAGGAAGATTAGCATCAGGACTTTCGGGAAAGGTAGCCTGAGTCCAGGGACATTTTTAAAAGGATCTGTGAGGTTTCTATGGAGTTGGGTGTTTCTAAAAGGTAGAGAGAGTCACCTGTAATTTTTATAACCCCTACAGTCTGGCTGAGGCTAGCAGGATTATGGACTGGCTGTGCAGCTAGCTTACAAGGCCTCCTCTGGGGCACCAGGCAGGGATGTGACCGATGGTGTTTCAGGTCTACCTGCTTGCCCATTTCCCCGATGTGAGCCGAGTAGCAAATCCTCCATTCAGAGGATGATCTGTAGGATTCCAAAGTATTTAGGTGTAGCCATAAAAACTTTTTTTTTTTTTTTTTGCATGGGGGAGGGGGATGAGCATTGAGAGAGATATATATTTATAAATCCTTTTATTGGGGGGCTCTTACAGCTCCAATTCATACATCATTTCTATCAAGCACATTTATACATCTGTTGCCATAATCAATTTCAAAATATTTTCTTAATGTTTAAACCTTTGGTATCAGTTAAAACTTGTTTTTATGTGGTATCTTTTCATGAAAGCACTTCCACATGTGTTCTTTCATCAGTTGTGTTTTTTGTAAAACTTTCTTGGTTTTTTTAAAAATGAATTTGGAAAATTGTGAATTAGGTGGGGCCGTTGTATTACAAACTTAGGAAACACTTCCTGAGGCAAACTCCACGAGTTGAAAGCAGGCCACAGATTCAGTGTCTAGCCATCACAGGCTACTGTATACATCCAGTAAAATCTCCTGGCCCAGTTCATGTCTATGTGGACATCGGGCTGGGTCTGGGGAAGTGTGAGGTGGAAATACAATGTGCTCATCTTATATTTTGAAAAGAAGGTGGTTTGGTCAGTGTCCCAATTGAGGTCTTGAGTCCATTAGAAATCTAGTTCATGTTAAAATTTTCATGTAGTTTTAAGTAGTGAGAAATTGAGTGTAAATAGAAGAGACTGAAGACCACAAGTTGAAACTGAGTGTGTGGCGAGGATTAGCTATTGGGGCTGTAGGTTGTGAATGTCACATTAAATAGACTCGAGGTTGTTGAGAAAGTGAATTTGGTATAAGGACTGGGATCCTGCAAAGACCTGTTCTTCTCAGCTTATTTGTTCATATCCATACCTGTGTGGAGAGTTCTTCAGATGGGATTATGCCTAGAGCAGCAGTTCTCAACCTGTGGTGGGTTGCGACCCCTTGGGGGTGGAGGTGTCAAATGACTTTCACAGGGGTTGCACGATTCATAACAATAGCAAAATTACTGTTATGAAGTAGCAAGGAAAGTAATTTTATGGTTGGGGGGGTGGTGTCACCACAACATGAGGAACTGTATTAAAAGGTTGTGGCAGTAGGAAAGTTGAGAACCACTGGCCTAGAGGGCCAGATTTCACTAGTCCATTTTCAGTCTGTTCTATAGGAAGACTTTTCACTACTTTTCATTTCTATTTGCCTATCCTAAAACCAAAAGTAAGTTCCAGGGACTCACAAGGTGTGACTGATTTACACATTTGAATGTAATGGCAGCAACATTTCCAAGTAGAAAGGGCAGGTGGTAAAAAGAACATTGGTTGGTGATAAAGAGACCTGCGGCCACTCCTGACCTTGAACACATCAGGTCCCGTCCCCACACCTCGGCTTCTTTCTACGCTGGGCTCTGGTTGGATCAGCTGGAAAAGCTGTCACCACCAGTCTTGAATTTTAAGATAGGTTTTGCTGGACTTATTTTGTAATTCAGTTTGCCCTGCATACTATGGCCCTAGCGGTGTGTTCCCTGGTGTCCTTGTCCAACGGTGAAGATGAAAAGTTGCCAGGACACTGAGAGAATCTAGGCTGTGGTTTTATAATTCTGAAGTAAGCACTGGTGTGTGTGTGTGTGTGTGTGTGTGTGTCTTTAAGAAATAGTGTATCAAGTAATTTCATTGTTTGGATTGTTTTGTCCCCCCTTTGGTACCATAGCCTACTCATGAAGGTTACTTCTCTTGCTTGGATATCTGGACACTCTTTTTGGACTATCTGACAAGTAAAATCAAAAGTCGTCTGGGAGACAAGGAAGCAGTTCTCAACAGGTAAATTCTGGAGACATTGGTAAGCAGAGGCAGCGAATGTTTGTGTGTCCTGATGGGCAGTGCACAAGGCCCTGTTGGGAAGCAGGCCGCCGTGCCCTGGGATGCTTTCTTTCCCCTCTCTCAGATACCCCGTTTTCTTAAAACATCCTTTTTCTGACTAAAATGAAATATGTATTACTCATTTTTTTAAAGGCATGGTAATGTTTTTGTTTGTGAAATGTCTCGTGTTTTCATGGTTCAAACTGAAACATTTCTTGGGTGAAACGATAGGACATCTGGGATTTGTTTCAGATGACTTGCAGGCTGCAGTACAGGAGAAACAAGGCTGCCTTTCAAACGGTGGATACAAATTTGGCTTTGTTATCTTACTCCTTTCGGGTGTGTTTGAAAATTTCCTAAATTAAATATTTTATTATGAAAAAACCAAAACAAAACTATTTCTTTAGGAACTAGAAAGAGTGAAAACAGAGAATTCGTTACTCACAATTTTACCCTCTAGAAAATTTCCTTTTGTAACCCTTTTGCTATAATTTTTAGAACAGAAAGAGGACGTTTTCTTCTGCCTATTTTTTGTGAGCCATGTGTCCACCTTTCAGACTGACAGCATGTTTTCTGTACAGTGTGCTTCTAGTGCAACTTTGGGTTTTGTCTTCCATGAGTTAAGTCAGTTTGCCCACAGCACCTCCCCTAGGTTTGGGGAAGACCAGAGTGCTGGAGATTCAGCACGTTAGTGAGATACACTGTATGCGGGACATCATATAATACCCATCCTGTTCTGAAGGCAATATTCTGATCACATACTGAAGAAGCAAAAACTGCACTGTATATTGTAGGATCAGAGCAGTTTCTTATTCTATAGATTCCCAAACTTATTCTCCGCCCCCACCCCAATTTTAAAACTTTGTATTATATGCCATAATCCAGGATAAAGTGTAGATATATTTATATCTGCTATTGCAGCCACCTCGGATCATTCTAGCGCTCCCCAGAGGGCAGTGTTGCCCACTTTGGGAAACACTATTAAACTTAACCTGATGCATGTATTTTTAGTGCATCTGTACAAATACAAAGTGGGCCTGCAAACCTGCCCAGGGTGGCCTAGTTTCTGTAATATGGAAGCCACAACTGATAATGAAACAGACTTGGGTTTGGATCCTGAATGTATAGTTCTGAATTGGTATCCTTTGGTTAGTTACGTAGCCTCAGAAAGGCTCTATTTCCTCCTATGTAGCAGTTGAGATGGTCTTCATACAGCTCACTTAGCCTCGATGGGATTTGGGGTAATGTGTCTAGAAGGTCACTGAGGCCAGTGACCCAGCACTGCCACACCAAGGAAGTGGACAGAAGAGTCCCTGCTGGGAGGGGAGAAGGGGGACGAAGACCTCTTCAACTTTGTCCACTGAGGGGAGGCTGACTGAGGTTTAAAATTCCGAACAGACTGTTTGCACCCCTAGTTTCTAAACATTTGTACTTACGTTCCCTGGACATTTATTTTTGTGGTTTCAAAATATCTTTCAAGTTGGCATGGTATCAGGTCAGATGCCCTTCTTTCGTTAATTCAGTCGAGTCCAATGGTGAAGATGTGATTCTGTGTATCAGACGTTACACAACAGTAGATCCTGGTTTGGGTGAATTGTATTGTTGGGTGAAACTTCAATCCCTATTATGCCAGTAGGCATGTCCTTGGCTCAAGTTGTCTGTGTCTGGCTTTTTGTGTTGCATTTAGGTACTACGGCATCAGTTTGGTCTCATAAGGACCTCATGTGCAGTGGAATGGAACACTGCCTGGTCCTGCATGGTTCTCATAATTGTCGCTGTGTTTAAGCTCATTGTTGTAACCACCTTGTCAGTCCAGCCTGTGGGTCTTTCTCTTTCCTGTCTCAAAAGACCCTCCATTATACCTGCTTTCCTTGCTATTGTTGGATGCCACTGTGTTGGTTCTGACCCATGTCCAGTGCCGTTCAGCCCTGCCAGGTCCTGTGCCATTCCCACACTCATCGCTGTGTCTGAGCCCAAGCTGCAGCCACGTGCTAGCCCATCTCCCAGAGGGCCCTGCCCTTTGTCATGCGCAGTTTGTGGACAGTCTCCTCACCCACCATTAGGGGCCTTCTGGCTGCCTTCATCCGCACAGATGACTCATTCTTGTGGCAGGCCATGGGGTAATTCTTTGCCAGGAGCATGACTCAAAAACTTCGGTTCTTGTCTGCCCTTTGTTCTTCATTGTCTAGCTTTGGGGTGCAGAGGAGGGGATGGAGAATAACTCTCTTTCTTTGGTTAGGCATATGGTGGCATTGTGGATACCTGCTGGACTGCTCCCGACAAAGTCAGGGGTCGAGGTGTGCCGGCTGCTCCTCAGGAGAGAGATGAGGCTACCTGCTCCAAGAAGGATTTCTAGCTTCAGAAACCCACACAGGGTTGCTGGGAGCTGGAATGGACTCAGTGGCAGCGGTGGACTTTGGTCAGCCACACCTGAGTCCTCAAAGGCAGTATCTTCGCTTTTGAACACTATAAGGAGGTCTTCGGTGGCAGATTTGCTCAATAGAAGGCGCTGCTTTGTTTTTTTGCAGGGGTCACCCGGATAGCTGCTTCTATGGCATTGATTATGGATCCAAACGAGATGAAAACTGTGACAACCTTAATATGTTCTCTGTTTATTGTGATGCTGCTTACTTTACTGTTCCACTTGTGGGGACTTTTATTTGCTTTCGTGGAGGTGCAATCCATAGTGAAAGCTGTAGTCTTTGCCCTTTTACCAGGAAGCTCAAGTGAAGTTGTGTTTGCTTTCAGGAAGCAAGGTTGGGTCCCCTGCATTTTGTAGGCTAGTGAGTCTTCCTCTGATCTTGATACTACATTCTTCTTCATACAGTCCAACTTGGATGATTTGCTCAGCATGCAGATTGAACAAGTACGGGGGAAAAAGAAACAACCCTTATGCACCCACTTCCTGATTTCAACCCCCACCCCCCGTGTTCTCGTTGAAAGACTGTCACTTAGTCTGTGTACACGGTCCACTTGAGCACAGCAACGGGCTCTGTAGTTCCTCTTCTTCACACTGTTGCGTTTCATTGGGTGCGACCCACACAGAGTTTACAAAAGCCAGGTAAACATTTATGGTAGGTAGTGCCTTCCCATCTCTCATAGTTGTTAGGGGAGTGGGAAACCCTGAGGAAATGATGGCCATGAGGTTGCTTTTTAAAGCGCAGCACAGACGGAGGTAGGAAGAGTCTGGTTCCGTTGAGAAAACCGGAACCAGGAGCTTAGTAGTACTTGGATACACTTGTGCAGGTTACCCAAGAGAAGGAGCTGTATGCAGAGGTTAGGGGTTCCTTTTCTGTTTTGTGGTAGCAGCCTCACTTTGGTCAAGTTAAATGCTGATCTCATTTCCTCTTGCAAAACGAACTTATCTCACTATTTCACAAAGGATACAGGACTCAAGGCAGCCATGTCTATAAAATACCTGGCACAGTGCCTGCGCCCTATCAGACACTCGGTAAAAGGCCCTCGTGATGGCAGCAGCAATAATAACTGATACAGATGGCTGCCATTTAACTATGGCATGGTGACCATGATGCTGGTGACAGGGCCTCCTCTGGACAATCTACAGAGGTGGATCAGACATCTATCCTCTAATGCCACAGGTGTCTATGGTTCTGAATGACTGCTTTAAACACTAGGAAGTCATCTCATTGATAATTTGGTTATTCTCTTAAATGAGGCTTCTAATTTTTCAGAATCCTAAAAAATACTTGTTGCTGTTGTGAGGTACTGTGGAGTCGGTTCTGACCCATAGCAACTTTGTACACGACAAAGGAGCCCCTGCCGGGCCCTGCACCCTCTGCGTTATTGTGCCTCTGCCGGAGCCCATTGCTGCAGTCACTGTCCGTCCATCTCCTTGAGGGCCCTCCTCTCCTCTCTGCCCTCCACCCAACACAATCTGATGTCCTTCTTCAGACACTGGTCTCTCCCGATAGCACGTCCAAAGAATGTCAGATGAAGTCTTGCCTGCCTTTCTTGTAGGGAGCGCTCTGGATGTATTTCTTCCAAGACAGATCCTTTGTCCTGTTAGCAGTCCATGGGACTTTCAAGATTCTTCTCCAGCACCACAATTCAAGTGCATCAATTCCTCTTCGATCTCCTTTATTCAATGGCCAATTTTCGTATGTCTCTACTTTAAAAGGCAAACAAACAATAAAGAGACAAAAAGATAAACCTTCAAAGTTGGTCTCCAGCCAGTGCCATGACGTGGTCCTCATCATCTAGGGCAGTGGGCTACAAAGCATGGTGGAGGCTCAGTCTGTTGAAATGCAAGATGAGAATACCAGGCCTTCACCCATGTTTTGTGTCATCCTTTACATTGTACACACCAGTGTGTGCTCAGAAATTGTAGATGAATGGAGCACCTGCCGTCTCTGCTCTGGAGACCGAGCGTCCCCAGTGTATGGGGTGTGTGCTTTCTGTTGGACAGCTGACGGCACGCTGACCTTCGGGAATTACCCGTGCTAGCTGGTGAAGCACCTGTTTGAAGTCGGGGGTGCTTTGGGAGTCACATTTGCGGTTTGAGAAGTGACTGATCTTGCAGGAAGTAGTCAAGAATGTTCTTGGGGTGTCTAAATGGGAACCGTGGGTGTGGCTAAGACAGAGGCAGCACTCAGTTCCTGTCCTTTGTGGTTAAAGGTTTTGCATCATCACAACTAAGTGGTAGGCATGGTAGGCTACACATTTAGAAGCAGAAATGTACAGGGATTTATTTTTGGTCCTAGGAACTTGGAAATGGAAGCTTTTCAGTTCCCTGCTCAGTGAGAATGAACAAGAGTTTCTTGAAAGTACAGCATCCGCTGGGGAGGACCTTTGAGCTCAAGTCCCAGTGTTAGCAAAATAAAGGTTCCGTCACATACACAGCTGAACAAACTTGCCTATGGGGTTGACTACCCTACTTTACTACCAGGCGATCCATAGTGCTGATGTGCAAAGTTGTACTTTTCCACAGCACCATGTCTTCA